ATATGTTATCCTAAAGCCTCCCTAGGTAACTGATATAAATGATATACATGTGTATCAGCTGGTGTTGTGTTGAGTATACACATGTGTTATCTTAAAAGCCAAATTCATAGATTTGTTTGGGAGTATATATTCAGTATTATCACATATGGTGATCATTTATAATGTATTCAAATCAGTATTATCAAATATGTTGATCATGTTTCATGTTTCAGCTTGACGGCACTGGGTAATGTGATCTATACTTTAGGTGATTCACACACAAAAAGTGGCCATGTTCCTTACAGAGATTCTAAACTCACCAGATTATTACAGGTATGTTAGGTTAAACTTTTTTTCTGTCACTATGGTAACAGAAATTAGGCGACTGTCAGTCATATCTATTCCATTCGTCCATCTGTGCATTTCTATGTCCAGTCATTTCTCAAGATATGCATTGACCACATTCAAACTTTGTCTGATCACATTCAAAAGATGAAAGGTAATACTGTATTTTGTGGTTTGATTGAATTTGGCGTTTTGATGGTCATTTTGTCTAAAGAGACTGTCTGTTATAAACATAACTGAACCGTTCACAAACCCCCATCCTGCACAGAAGTGCAATGATATGATAGCTAAAGCAATCTGTGTTCATTTCTATACAGGATGCTCTTGGAGGCAACAGTTATACATGTTTTTTTGCTGTAGTATCACCAGCTGACAGCTGTTACACTGGTAGTTTACAGACATTACAATATGCTCAGCTTGTCAAGAATATACATAACACAGCTAGGAAAAATGTGGTACGTTCTTGAGGCTCATTTCTTTTTTTTTCGTCAGTGTACTGTTTGTTATTCTATGAATATATATGAATTTGAATACCTAATGAACCATTGTCATGCTAACAATATGCAAATTAGGCATAACTTGTATTTGAAAACGAGTTTAATTATAATGTGGAATTATGGGATGAATTTAATCTTAAATTGTATGTGTAAGTGTAATATTAAGTATTTGTTCTAGAATGTGTTTTTGCAAGACATAACAAAACACAGAGTTAGGTTGGTACATTATCACAGGGTAATGACAAATAGATTGTGTCTGCTTCATAGTACCATCTGGACTGACAATGAGTTTGTGTTGTGATTATGACATGGTGACACCTACTGTTTCTCTATCCAAGAGCAAATAGCAATCTAGGCCGAAGTATTTAGCGTGTAACCCATGTGTGTCTTGTGGAAGAATGGACGAGAATCTATACTTAACTTCAATTATTCATACAAGTTACACAACAAGCATGAAATGCGGTATGCGGTGGTTGCAGCACCCAGGAGCCACACGCGTTTATTACAATGTTTATTTATCCCCCCTTACATATGTAAATATACACACAATTGATGCCAAAGCCCCATCATGAATACATCAACCCCCCTAAAAAAACCAGATGTAAAAACCCGTCAAGGGAGAAAAACATCTGGAAACCTGTACCTGACGCAATGTCAGATGTACCTAGGGGTGGACGTCGGGAGTCGTCCATATTACGAATACTATACATTTATAAAAATAAAATAAAAAATACATCGTGAGTTGTTTGCAACTGAGACTGAATACAATAGAATACTCTTCTTACTATATACTCATGAGCACCTGGCTACTTAGCCACTAACCAATCGGAGCAGGTGCAATGGCACCTGAATAATTTACATACGAATAGATAGCAATTATCTTCTAATCTACGAAACGCAGATAATTTCTCATTATGGTTGCCACTCTACTACTTTCCTGCATTAAATAGACTTTATAGATTATATGTAAATTTCTCAATCGATACTTATCTTCAATTATTTATACAAATCACACAACAAGCATGAAATGCGGTATGCGGTGGTTGCAGCACCCAGGAGAGCCAAAAATTTAGTTATGGTTTCACAAAGTGGAATCCAGGGGCGAAGCTGTATTCGCGTCTTCTAACAAAATCTGAAGACATATAGCAATGTGCAATGGCTTAAGTGGACAGGCGACGCCCTCTGACAAATTTGACATGCACCATTGTTTCCATCTGAGCCAAGTGCCGGTGTACTTGCTTAAAGTATTACCGGATCTAAACGCCAACATCACATCGGGCAGAGTGTCGCAGAAGTCATCCAGTAGTGGGTTCGGCCTTCCAATTCTGTATCTGAAAGACATCTAAAACTACACGATTTATACAACAAAATTGATAATATGCCGACATGAAATAACGAATTATCTACTCACATCGCACGCTGCTGTCACACAAGAACAGCAGCAAAGGGCCGAAAGGCGAATATATACAGACATGCCGAA